GCCTGCTTCTCCCTCTCCCACTCCCCCTGCTTGTGTTCCCTCTCTAGCTGTCTCTCTCTCTCAAATAAATTAAATCTTAAAAAAAAAAAATTATTTCTACCCTATTATTTTCTGTCCTCTATTGCTCTCTCTCTGTATTCCTTTTTGTCTTCTATTGTACTTTCTTCTTGATTGATTTTAATTTTTTCATTCTTTTTCTCCCCTAAGAGTTTAGAATTATAGTCTATATTCTTTTATTTCCCTATATATTTTAACTTGTATACCAGTGTCCATTAGGATAGACTATATTATGGACTGGGAATAAACAATCCCAAATTCTTAGTGGCTTAGAACTATAAAGGTTTCCATGCTCCCTCTGCACTATAGGCTGATGGAAGATTGACCATTTGAGAGCATCAGTGATAGTAGCAAGATCAGAGAATGGACAGTTTGTGGTCGTGCTTAAATACATCTGCCTTGGATCACTTCCCATAGATCACTGGACGAGAGTCACATGACCACACCCAAGTTAGCGGGACCAGGGAAGTGCAATCCTCTTATGTGAGTAGAAGGAAAGGGAAACTTGAAATACTGGTGAGGAGATAATAATGTCGACCATAATTTGCTTTTCTGCTCACCAAATGTTTGGGTCATTCTTTCTCTCATGTAGATTAAGCTTACTCCCACCTCAAAGGAGAGCTGCCCCAAATTCCCATTTAGTCAGAAAGTTTAGCTCAGGATCAGGTTTCCTCTATATTGTAGGGTAGCATGGATACACAACAATCTCTGCAACAGATCTGGATGTGCTTTCTCTTGATAACAAACCCTTTGAGCCAAAAAGAAAAATTGGGTGTGTTACATGTTCCCAGTATACAGTGATGAAACAGGCATGGTATAAATAGAAAAATACTAACATTTGGAAAAGACTCTGTGATATATAGCAATCACCGGTCCATAGCAGTTTTGAAATTCTGGTGGGCACAAATGGTTAAAGCCCTCCATCTTTGGGGTGGGAAGAAAGTGAAGGGACTTCTTTTTCCATTGTTCTCTGTGGCCCTGACTCTACCTTCAGAAATTTCTTCCTTTTGTATTATTATTCTTGGCCCCATCTGAAAGAGAGGGCAATAGAATCTCCTTGTGGGCCATGCAGTTTTCTCAGCCTTTTGTCACCCTACTTCCTCTGGCAATAAAACTTCTCAAAACTGAATAGACTTGATTTCAGTCAGCTGTATGTGCCAGGATCCATATCTGCACTTCTTTATCAGTGTGCTTTCTTAGAGTGTTATATTTCTCACATCTGACATATATTCCTGTGTCCCCATCCCCTTTAATATCAGATAACTTGAGTCTATTGGATGTCACTGGGAAGAACACATACTTTAGCTATTTACTCTGAGTGATTTTATCTAAATGAACAATTTGCTGGATATCACACCCTTAATTTGCTTTTTGCCCTGAAGGTCTTAATCCATCCAGTGGTTTTCACGAAGTTATAATGAACACTGATTTGACCTTTGCTTCAAGGCTGAGTTATAATTAGCCTTTGTTGCTCAAAGGTTTTCTTACATTTAGCTTTGACATTTTAGGGTGGTGAGGAAGTTTTCTTTTCCATCTCTGAAAGTCCATCATGAGTTTTCATATTCTCTCTACTCCCTTTTATTCCTGTTTGTAAACATACAAATTATTTCCTGAACCCAGGAAATGGCCAAATGCAGCTAATTACCAACACTCACTAGTAAAGTTTGTTTTCCAACTTCTTCCCTTAGAGCCACATATAACTTTATTAGGTACATGATAGGTCTCCCAACTTAGGGCAGATGACTTTTTACCAAACATTTTGATATTACATGTTGCTCACCTTTAGTACACATTTCCCCACTGCTTTCAGTACTAATGCTTGTTTCTTTTGGGATAAAGTATATTATATGAACAACCCTAAATTCCCAGAAAGAACCAAGATTTCATCCTCACTCTTGGGTTACAGGTTGTTGAGGGTTCAACAGGAGTAGTCTAGTCACTGGTCACAGCAGCAAGGGAAGAGAGAATGGATACTCAAACTGACTCATAAATACTTCTTGGAAGTGGTACTTTGTCCATATTTCATTGATCAAAGCTAGTTTCATGGCCAAGGCTAACTTCCAGTAGGCAAGGAGGTACAGGCCCCCAACATTCCCCAAAGGAGAGGAGAATCATAAATACTGAGGAGTAGCATTACTGTCTGTAACAAAATATAAAGTTATCTTAAGCCTCTTCTAAAATAATATAAGGGCATTAGAAAACTTTAAATCTGAATTTTCCAAACTTATATATTTCCCAGGATATTTATTTTTTTAAAAAATGTTCTCCCAAATTAGATATTATTTTAATGCTGTTTTCTCCAGTCAGTATTTATTTAGAGTCATTCATATATTTACCACTTTATTCTCCCATATCACATTTTCTTACTAAATTCAATTTCTTTTTGTGTGTGTGACATAAAGACTTTAGAGTCCTTCAACTGAGCCTGTTAGTAGCAAATTATTTTTGTTTGAAAAGTTTTATTTCACCCCTTTTCTTCTAAGTGAGAATTCTCTTGGGTACTCAGTACTAGGTTTTCTCAGGTTTTGAAGGTGTGATTTCCGTGTCTTATGGCCAGTACCACTGTTGTTGAGAATTCAGCTGTTTGTAAAACTGCCAGTACTTTGTATCTACTCGCCTTTCTTTTTAGCTTCTTTTAGGGTCTTCTTTTCTTGCCCTTCTGTAAATGCACTACACTTTGTCTCAGTGTGGAAGTCTAATTTATCCAGCGTGGGATTTGGAAATCTTAATCTGAGCATTCTTATCTTTCATCAGTCTGGAAATTTTTCAACCTGTATCTCTAGGAGTATTCCTTTACCAATT